GCATTAGAGCTTGCATGCATCATAGACCAGGTATACATATTTTGTGCTTAAGGCCGACTGTCAAAAAGTTCTCACCTCCTTTAACTATTTCTGTAAATATTTATTTATAGATATCAATGTTCTTTGATCACATAAAAAGTGGAAGGATTTCTAGGAGTTTATCTGAACATTTAAGTAAGCTAGGGCTCTGATTTTATCTATACAACTCATACTTATTTACTTAAGTATATGTTGATACCTTTACAAAGACCTACATGTTGAATTCAGGACTTGGAAATACAAAGTCACTGACAGAGCCGGGACCACGAGTCCTGAGCTTCTGTTTGTATTCTAGGATGCGCTCTTGCATTATTTTTAAGTCCAGAGTAGACATTGTCTGATTGAATCGCATCTTACCTATTAAAAGTTACAGAATAAAAATCTTAGTCATAGATGAGAGTTCATGTGTGTTTACTGAAACATTTTATAGATTTCCCCAAGAACTGATAAAACTAAATTCAACAGGAAATAAAAATATACCCAAGAGCAGATGAGCACAGGCCAAGCAGTGGTGACTGATCTGCATGTAGGTTAAAAGATGCTAAGACTTTGTTTGATTTTCCTTGGAGACGCTTAGAGTAGACTTCTGAAACTGATTTGGATTATAGATTTTGCTAAAGTCAATAGGGCACATTAGCCTTTTGTTTCATTGGCTTTTAATTACTGGCTTTTGTATCCCATCTGGAATGTCCATTTGGATTCTTGGACCTTACTTTAACATTGCACATACTATTGTTTGCTTTGTAGAATAATGCTGAGCCATTTCTGCTATTGTAATATCAAGGTGAAGATAAAATTTTACGTTTCAGACATTTTTGTACTGGGTCATATTTGGTTTTCAGTATTAAGGAGAGATGTTTGCTTCTTAATAATAGTGGTCAGTCGTAAGGAATAGAACCCAATTGTGTTATTTTGAAATGATGACAGAATTGATTCATGGATATCTGGCAACAACAAAAAAAGAAACAATTATGGTGAATAATAAAGGACATCTGAGTCTTACTCTTTGGTTTTGTGGAAGCTGGTGATATTGGAAGAGATGGAAAAATAAAAACTAATGGTTATTATCTATTTCTGAAAGGAAGTGAATATAATACTGGATAGATATGTAGTTTTAGATAAAGAGAGGTTAAGATTATTCCAGTATTATTTTTCTGTTTCTAGACTTTGCATCTATGTCTTGGTCTCATCATCATTACACCTGCAACTTTACATTTTCATTGCTTTTAGAACCTCCTTTGGTGTATAAGCAGAAATGAAAAGAGAAGGTGAAAATGTAGGCAACTTTGTTTCTTTCTAGTAGTTCTTGAAAGTTCCATATTTCACTATTTAAAGAGTACCTGTACAAACTAGTGACTGTGGATTCTAATCACCAAAGCCCCAGGTGAATCTTATGGTCAGGTATGTTTGAGAAATGATATATTATCTCTCTACTTCACCCAACACACTTATTCTCTTGTTATATAGTTATTTGCATGTTGTTAACCTATTTTGAGAGTTTATAAGCTCCTTGAAGTTATACAGACAGAGTATGTCAGTATCTGCACTTTTCTGGAAAGAGAATCCACAGCTTTCACCCTATACCAAAAAAAAAAAAAGAATACAGTTGACCCTTGAACAACATAGGTTTGAACTGTGCAGATCCACTCATCTGCAGATTTTTTTCAGTAGTAAATACTACATGATCCAGTTGGTTGAATGGGCAGATATGGAACTATGGATACAGAAAAATTGTGGATATGGAGGACCCACTATAAATTATACATGAATTTTTGACCGTAGGAGGGTCAGCGCCCCAACCCTTGCATTGTTCAAGGGTCAACTGTAAATAATAGTATTCTCTTAAAAAATCTGTATCTCAAACTAAGGTAGGAACATTAGAAAATACATTTCATACCACTTGCTAGATTTTAAGCAACCAAACATCAGGAATTGAATGCCTTACTGATATATATTTCCCTTAGCACTTGGGAACTGTCCCTCTCATAAACACTTTTGCACAGATGGATTTTAGAGTTGCATAAATCTGGGCCTAATTCTTTGGACCTGGTACCCCACAGTAGTAAGTAAGCTAGGTACTTGTGTTCCATGGTTACCTCCTTCAGGCAAGAGAAGTTTTATAGGACAAGAGCCATTTACTTAACCAGTTTATTTTGTCTCCTTCCCCACTCAAAATTATCAACTCTAAAGAATGTAGAACATAACGGATAGATTCAAATTATTTTCAAATAATTCCTGCGTAAAAAGAAAGAATGAAAACGTCCCTCCAAGTTACGAGCTAGAGGGGTGAGATACCTCCAGAAGCTAAATCATCTATAGTTTGGCTTTTTTACAAAGGTCTCTTCGGGTGGTGATTTCCATGTTAAAAAACAAAGCTATTTATTCAAAAAGGAAAAGTGTACAGAGTCTCTGTGATGAAGCGACTCCCTAAAGAGTAATCTCAATGAGGAAAAAAAAAGACATGACGTTCTAAGCAACAACATTGCCTTGGTTGGGGCTTCCCTGGTGGCGCAGTGGTTGAGAGTCCGCCTGCCGATGCAGGGGACACAGGTTCGTGCCCCGGTCCGGAAAGATCCCACATGCCGTGGAGCAGCTGGGCCCGTGAGCCAGGCATCTCACCAACCACTCCATAAAAATCCCCCAACTAGGAAGTATTTTAAAAATTCACCTAGAAATAATAGCAAAGTAATTAGCAAAATTTTGCATTCTGCATCTGTCTGTTTTTTTATCAATGTTGCTTTTTTTTTTTTTTTTTTAAAGCTGTGTTAGCCATTACAGAGCTATTGTTCATTCCTATGGGTCTAGGACAACAGGGGCAGGAGTCAAGGCCAAGTTATGAGTCCCCAATACTTTTGCCGTGAATGCATCACACTCCAGACTCATTGGACAGCTACTGATTTCCTTGGATCATTTTAATCCAACCCAAAATTCTTCTATGGCTCTGGAACCTCCTGAGGCTTTCACAGGGGTTAGAACTATGGTTCTCAACCCTTAACTGTACATCAGAATCACCCAAGGAGCTGTAAAAGTGTATAGATATGTGATACTGCTTCCAGAGATTGCTGATCAACTTGATCTATGGTGGGACGCAGATTAAGTGGTTTCTAAAAGATGCTCAGGAAGTTCTGATGTGCAACAAATGGCTGAAGATGACTTGTTTAGACATTTCCAGACTAATTTTACAGAACCCAAATATAAGGATTTGGGGGGGGAGGTGCATCTTCAAGAGCTATAAGTAATAACACCATACTTTAAATATATAAAATGGTGTCAGAGTAGTCTGAAAGAGTTTACCCTCTTCAATCTGAGATTTCTAAATCCAGCCAGCACATAAGATATTATTTTAAAACAATCTCATTAAGAATTTGACGGCCGGAAATTCTTGAACACCTACATATTATCATGGTGGAGCGGGGGTGGGGGGGTGGGGGGGGTCTGAGCCCAGCAGGTGTCCTTTTTAAACACCTGTTGGAGTGAACTCTGTCACTGGCCCTTTAAATGGGATGGAGTTTTAATTTTCCAAAAGCTGTGAGCCAGTTGGAATGCTAGAAATGCACATTTGTTGCTTATGTTCCATTCTAGTAAACCATCTCCTGAAGTGCTATGTTGATCTCTTGATTGTGTAGTTAATGAGAGAAATCTATAGATACCATTCAGAATGCCTAGCAGTCTTGTTTATAGAGGTTAACTAGAGAGAGTTGATTTCCCATCATCAGCTAATAACGAGAAACACTGTTTACCATCTTGTGAGTCTTTCAAGAATTCATGGGTTAAAAACCAGAATTGTCATTGTAAATTGGAGAGTGTTGAAAGCTCACCTAGATAACTGTTTCACATTTTTCCCAAGTGGAGAGTCTGAATTTGTGTTTGATTATAATGAAATAGCTAAAATGTTACACAGCTTAAGGCCAAACATGCCTGTGAATGATTCTATCCAAAAGCTGACATAAACACACTGTGTCACTATTTCAAGCATGTTCATCATGTCTATCTATAGCATACTACTGAATCAGGTACCGCCTGGCTGAAGGTCATGGGTTACACATAGCTCTTCAAATACTTTATTTCTGAGACAGCTGAATTACTCCCTGACCTGACTTTAGTGAGTGGGAGGGTCATCATCTGTATGCCTTACTGCCCTTTCTAAAAATAGCAGGGGCTTTAGTAAGGAGATATTTTAAGCAGCTCATATTCACTTGTCCCATCAGGGGAAGCTTATTTTGGCCACTTGCATGTGTCCAATTTGCATGTGCCTAGAGTTAAACTTTTGGAGGCTAGTCTGTGCTCCTTCACCCCACTCATCTAAGAAACTGGCAAGCATAAAGACGCTGGAATTACTAGCTGAGAGTCAGTGGGTAAACACAAATGAAGGGAAGACACTTTTTAGGAATGTGAATATGCTTCCGAAATCATCCATTTCAGACATTTTCACATCAGTCCTCAGCTTTTCGGATCTGTTTTCATAAAACCTGGCCGTGATTTCACTCCAGAGACCTCAGTGATCTTGCCGCTTTTAATAAACATTAATAGGAGCCACTGCCAGCCTGTGGATAAGGGAAACTAATGAGAAACTGCCATCCAAAATCAACAGCAAACACAAAACCAAGCAAAACCAAAAAATCCAAAACAAAACCAAAAAAGAACAATCTGTGCTCACAAGAAGACGCATAGAAAAACACCGAGATGTAACTTTGATTGGATAACTGGATTTATCAGTCACATGACTGACATGCAGTGGGTACTTTGTATTTTTCTACTCTGAAATACAAGTGCAAATCTATGTTATTCTGCACAACTGGGACCAAAAAATTATGAGTGTGAGAAAACGCAGACTCTAAAAGCAAGATGGAGTTTAAGCAGGTAAACCCTGTTTCACAGTCATGTCATTCCGGTACAGTTGTACGTGGTACTCGTGTTTCCACCTCTAAGAAATTTCCATTTTTTCGCATCAAAAACTCCAGATATGAAGCTGAAGCTGCTTTCTTCGCCAACCTGAAGCTGTCTGATTTCAACATCATTGACACCCTTGGAGTTGGAGGTTTCGGACGAGTCGAACTGGTAGGTGATTGCTCTTTAAATGCTTTTGAGAATCCTGTCTTCCTTCTTAATTTTTTCTCCCAGATTAAGATTTCTCTTTTCTTCTCTCTCTAATCATTATTGTTCCTAAATTGGTACCAAATACTCTCATTTCAGCACAACAGAGTTTGCAACAAAGTGAAATATGTTATGTAATCAGTAAATGAAAAATAAAATAAACACCAACTTACTTTTTAGAAAACCTCTGCCTATTAAATGAAAGGTAAACACATTTACTTAATGAGGAGTCATAAAGCACTTAATACCCGCTGATTTTCTGTGATCTTTATTTACTTCCTTAGTTCTGAGCAGTGCTCACTAACTTAATTATGCACTCTATCTATAATCACAATAACTAAAATGTAAATTTAAATATATATAAAGGGAGATGAGGTATATTTACATGTATTATATATCTATGTATATAACATATAATTATTCTCACGACTGCTTTAAAAATTAAGTAAATGGTGTTGTAGTTATTCTGTAGTTATAAGCACCTATTTAGATTATAGTACATATCTATACACACATATATATAACTGTATTAGAAAATATGGTATGAATATTTTATATAATTTATTTCACACACATGTTTATTTGTGTGTATACACACACAGCTAAGTGAAGATGAAGAAGACATTTTGGCACAAGTTCATACATTAAACACATGGCATCAATATGGTGTAAACCAAATGAAAGCATGTTCTATTGTGCCTTTGTTTAAAATATAAATTTAAAAACTGACATATTACAACAAAAATTAGAAAAAAATGTACTCTTGTGACTGAGTTGCTGCATTCCAGATTGTGTGGATAAAAACCATATTTGAGACTGTAGATTAATGTCCACCTCTCCTGAACATGGAGGAGTCCCTGATATCAGACACCAGTACAGTACGTTAGGAACTCCCTGAGACTGTGTACAGTTCAGTAAATAGTTACTGTTGCCATCAGGCAGTAGGAGAAATCCCCTTCCATAAAAGTAGATTGACCTAGCACTATTTTTGTATTTGTCCATTTGTGCTGTAGTTGGGATTTCTGACTTTGATGGGCAGAATGATGTTATTTACTTAAATATTAGACAAGAAAGGTTTAGAGCCGTAAAGTGTTTCACTGAATTTGTGTGATGCTTCCCTTAACACTGGCTGGAGATACTATAGTAATGCTGCTGCTGACTTGATTCCTGACTTCATAGTGTGCCTCTGGGGATCTAAGTATTGAATGTTTTCAATTACAGGAGTAAAAATCAAGTAAGGGCTTAGAAAAACCTCTTTTCTGAATCCTGCCAATTAATGCAGTCTTACATTTATTTTTCAAGAACATTAATTTTGTGATGAAATATAACTTCACATAGTTAATGAAGATTTAATGACTGTTATACATGAACAGCTTTGCACAGGGAGTGTTGGGACATTAGAAACAGCACAGAGTGTAGCGCTCCTAGCCATGAAGGATTTATTGTCTGCTGTGTTTATTTACATAGTTGTATGTGTCTAAACCCCTCTCTCTATGAAGCAGTATAAAGGACAGAATTCCCTAGAGATTAATTTTATGGCCGTTACAGTTTCTTAAAATTATTTTTTAAGGACTGTGGACAATAAAATTGCTGCTTTAGTTGACAAAAAAAATCAACATTATAACTTTGTGGTCTCCTAAAGAGGTCTGATAACTTCAAATTGGGAACCTTTAAGTTACCAGTGAGATATTTTATGAAATATAGGAATTTACTTAGGATTTTTGAAATACTGGAAATCACTTAAAGACACTGAAACCACTTCAAGATGCATAATCAAATGCCAAGCTGATAGTGGAAAACTTCTAGAAAATTCCCTCAAAAATGTGAGGAGGCACAAACAACCACAAAATTAAGGAAGGTTCAAAGTGGGCATATTAAAGGTAATGCAGTTTAAAAAGACAAAATATGTAAGTGTTTGTAGGCATGTGTGTGCTTGAGTACATACATATTTATATATAATCTTCATCCCAGGAGTGACAATCAAAGGCAGTTCAGCAATTTTCTTCTCATGGACGTGATATTTTACACGTCTACACAAATGTTTTTAGACTAATGGAAATCGTAACCTCAAGGATTAACTTAGGTTGGAGCTGTAGCCTGGTTTGGAAAACTTTAGATGTATTCCTGAATGATAAACCCATAATGGGTTATAAAGTATAACTAGTACATCATGGGTAGAGGTGCATGTCTTTAACCTCTGAAGTGACATCATCTTGTGTGATCTTGCACTTCCTAAACACACTAGGAGATTATCCTAATACCCAAATTTTCTTCACTGTTCGAGGTGGACTACCCATTTAAGTGATCACTATTATTACCCCAGAATCCATTGCTCCCAGTTCTTGCCACTTACTAACTGTAATGTTGATCAGGTAAATGACATTATAAAAATTACCACGGTTACACTTTAATTTTATAATTCTATTTTTTAAAATTTTCCCAGGTGTTGATTATAAGATGATAAACTACTGAATTGGGTATGAAGAATTAAGAAATTTGAATCTGTGAACCCCATTTCCTGTTAGAACTAAGTTAGAAGTGCAGTTTTATTATCATTTGATATACAGATCATGTTCATGTTATTTGCTTAATGTAATACCATTCAAACACTTCTTAGCATTTCTTAATTTTCATCATTTATGTCAATTTACATGAATTTAGATGCAGGGGTATTTTTCAGGCAGAAGAACTGCTAAAATAATTTTTTGCCAACTTTTAGAGATGAGAACATAATAGAAACTTAAATATTTGTTCAATGACGAGACCAGAAGCTTGAAGTGAAGGTCTCATAGGAATGGGAGTTCTGTTCTTAAGTTATTCAGTCTATTTCATAAATACTTTTAGCATAAGTGATTTCAACTAGTTTAATATCAGACATGTCTCGTTCACACCCATTACCTTCGGGAAGTCATTTATACTGCTTTCCTTTCTGTGATCTGGTATATACCGTATTTTCTGCACGTATTTTTATTTTCGAAGAACCACTTTCTAACTTATTCAGTGCTACCTGTTTACAGAATATTTTCCAGAAGACCACACTCCGTTTATAATAGCACCTTCAGCTAAAGAACTCAGCTTTTTTAAAATATATGATTTACTCATTAAAGCTATAAGACATCTAGGTAATTCTCTTAATTTACAAGACGTGACTGTAAAATAAGGAGATGGATTTTACAAATCACAAGTGAAAATTAGTCCCATTGCTTTATGGTCACATTCCGAATTTACTGTCCTTTGCCCTTGTCAGAGAGGTGCTTGCTTTTCAGAGTAGATTGGTACAAGTCAAACTTTTTAATCTAGCAATGCTATGTAGCGGTTGCTTTAAATAATAAATATGTAATCTATTTATTCAGCAATTCAATGCCTCTTATACCAGAGCACCATACTTGGATAAAATATAGGAAGAATGATATGGAAAACATAATCTCTGTCTTCTTGGATTATATTCTTTCTACACAATTTATTATGTATTTATGTAGTGAGCTCTCTGCTGGGATATACACAGTTTAACAGAAAATAGCCACTGCCTCTAGGGACTCACAGTCCACTAGGAGGGACAGTCATGCAAACTAATAAGTAAACCCATAATCAGAGTATGAGAAGCACGTGCTCAGTGCGTGGAGGGGCAAGATTTCTTAGAGGAGGCAGCATTTCTAAGACAGAGGGATCGACATCAAGGCGTTGCCATAAATAACCTCAAGCATTGTGGTCTGCTCTCGTAAAATGAAACTACTGCAGGATAGTTTGTTAATAAACTGGTATTAATAATGTTTATTAATAAATTAGTATGACTTTCTTACTAAAATCATCGAGCTTTTCATTTGAACCCAGCTTTACAATCTTCAAATGGCTCTCATATCCAGTATATAATTTTGCCTTTAGAGCTATCATAGGAGGCATAAGCCACATTTCACAGGAGCTAAGTCATGAATAATGTGTATAAGTGACCTAAGATCACACGGTCACTGAAAGAGCTGTTGTTTTTGCCCAGAACTACTGATTTTTAAACTAGACTTTTTCTTTTTTTATCATTCTGACTACTAAAAATATTTAGATTCTTATTACCACCACTAACAGCCACCATTATCAAATCAGACAAGTGTCACTTTATTATAATAGGTACACATTTGTTTTTTTAAAAAAGTCTTCTAGAATTCAAGAACCTGTCTTAGACATAAATACGGAATAGATGCCATGATTATCTGCTATTCACCTCTTCTTCTGTCGAACCTTCAGAGACTCTTTTTTCTGTCTTCTCTTTTGCGGCTCCTAGTTGAGTGTTAAAATATCTGTGGAGGAAAAAATAAAGATCAGACAGTATCACGTGGTAGCTAAAAGCTAGAGCTCTGGAATCAGACTGTCTGGATTGAGGTCTTACCAGCTGTGTGTGATTAGTCATTTACTTAAACCTCTTGAGCCTCAGTTTCCTCATCTCTAAAAGGAGGATAATAATAGGCTGTGTGCCTCAGGCATTGCAAAGATTAAATGAGTTAAAGTCCCAAAATAGTGCCTCACTATGTATCATAGGTCAGTAAGTGTTGGCAGTGTTGTTATTATTATTAAAATATTCTAATGATAACTATCATTTTCAGCTCTACCATAGAAAAGGAAGGGAATGAAATATTTTACTCTTTTTTCTCCCATTGTTAGGCCAAGTGCTGAGAATACAAGCATTTCTCCAATACATGAGTGAGGCTAAGGTGTTCAAATGAACTTCAGTGATAGCTTCTATTAAATTCCCCCAAACCACTAAAGCTCCTTACTTTCTGATCTGTCATGAGTAGAGATGGGAAACAATTTTCAGTCTTCCTCACAATAAACCTTTGTGTACCTGAAGTAGTCTGCTCTTATTCATCCATTTCTCTTCTAAATCGTAAAGCCCCACCTCTTAACCTCTCAACAGGAAATCGTTTTTGGTGCAAACTGCTAAATCATATCCAGTTTCTCCACAATCTTCTTAAACCATGGCACCCTGATTGGGCATAATAAGGGTCTGGCTCTTGCCAAATGGAGGACAAAGGTCTTTTCTCCTGTGCCACAATCCCATGATCGGATTGCCCAGGAGGGGGCAATGTGGTAGCAAGTTGTAAGAATTCTGCCACACTCACAATCACATTTGTGTAACAGGGTCTGTGTGCTGTACATATGGGCATCCATACCACTCTCATGGCATTTTTGCCAGCTGCTTGGTCACTGTGTGTCACATGCAAGTGACGTGGAAGGCTATGTAAAGCAACTAAAAAAAACAGGGACTAAGAGATGATTAAGCAAGAAATTAGGTGATAAACCTATTGCTCAGTCACAGAGTTTTGTTTCGTCATTATGTAAGGGGAAAGCCTAAGCCAAAGGGAAACCCCACATGAGACGAAAACCCTTCAAGAGCTTCTTACTGCCAAGCCACATGACAGTGAAATAGAATAGCTGTGGGATCGCTGGACAGCACTGCCCTTTGTGCCCACTGTGATTTATGCTGCAGGGGATGCCTGGGAAACCCTCCCATCCTAAGGCCTTGTGTCCTCTGTAGCCAAGGTGAATAAGCACTGTGCTGGCTGAAAACTCAAAATTGCCTCATTTTAACATAGCCTTTTCTCTAGAAATACCCTACTTGGATTATTATTAACTATGTCATCCTCATTTATATTTATTCTTCAAAAGAATGAAAACTGACACAAATTAGTAATTGTGATAGTATTGATTTCTGAGAAAATAAGTTATTCAGATAGTTAATAAAAATCCAATTTGATAAATGCTAATTGAACATAATAGGTGCAGTCACAACACAGGCATTCCTCAGAGATATTGCGGGTTCAATTCCAGACCACTGCAATAAAGCAAGTATCACAATAAAGCAAGTAACAGGAATTTTTTGGTTTCCCAATGCATATGACAGTTATGTATACACTATACTATAGTCTATAAAGCATGTAAGAGCATTAAGTATAAAAAAACAATGTACATACCTTAATCAAAAAATATTTTATTAAAAAAATACTTTATTGCTATAAAATGCTATCATCTGAGTCTTCAGTGAGTAGTAACATCAAAGATCACTGATCACAGATTATTAGAGCAAATATAATAATCATGAAAAAGTTTGAAATACTGTGAGAATTACTAAAATGTGACACAGAGACACGATGTAAGCAAATGCTGTTGGAAAAATGACGACAGACTTCCTTGACACAGGGTTGCCACAAACCTTCAATGTGTTAAAAATGCAGTATCTGCAAAGTGTGATAAAAAAATGAAGCGCAATAAAATGAAGTATGCCTGTATACTGCAACTTCTAAAACATCTAACCACAAGATAGTTTCTAAGCAGAAATCACAGGTGATAAAATTTATCTCTGCTTTGACATATACAAATAAGGTAAAATATGCATGAATTCATCTTGTTACTGTAGAATATATTCTCTTTAGTACATTGATAGCTGGAATACAGTTTAGACTAAATGAACGACAACAAATCGAACAGTCACACTCTTATACATCTTCTGAAATTACAGGAATTTTATACACTAGCCATCTGTTGAAATGAACATTTTTATTTAAAAGTGTTTGAAATTAGTGTTCTATAGTAAAGGAAAATGTTAGCACTTTCTCCTCTAAACCTTCTTGTTTTTCTAGAAAGATCAATCCACAGTTGGCCCTCAATATTCACAGGTTCCCCATCCATGAATTCATCCAACCTCAGATTGAAAATATTCGATAAGTTTTCAAAAAGCAAAACTTGAATTTGACACGCACCAGAAACAATTTACATAGCATTTACATTGTATTTACAACTATTTATGTATTACCTATGCTGTATTTATACCTATTTACATAGCATTTTCATTGTATTAGGTATTATAAGCAATCTAAGGATGATTTAAAGTATACAGGAGGGTGTATTTAGGTTATATGCAAATATTATGCCATTTTATATGAGGGACTTGAGCATCTAAGGATTTTGGTATCCACAGGGGAGACTGGAGTCAATCCCTCAAGGATACTAAGGACCAACTGTAAATCTAGAAGGCACTGGACATGTCTTTCCATGGCTTAAGTTTTGGATGAACTGTTTTATCACCACTTAACAGTTTGGTCACTCACCTTTTTGTTTTCTGTGACATAAATATGATTTTTTTTTAATCCAGTGAATTTATGGTCACGTCACATTCAGTAAAAGTTTATCTATTAAAACAATTCCTAAATATTTTTTGTGGGATATAGCAATATCACGTGTGATTCGTGCCCTCAAAGAACATCTTGCTTCTCCTACATAAGAAGATAAGATCAATACATATGAAAAATAGCAAGTGAAATCCTTTAGTATTGCATTAAATTCTAAATCATGAAGAAGGGTTCTCAGCATTTCAAAAAGAGAGCATTTGGAGCTGATGATGTAGCGAGGCCCTGAGAAGACACAGAACTTGAGCCAGGGCTTAGAGAATAGGTTGGGATTTAAATGAACAGATGCGAAAAGGCCATTTGGGGGAAAGGCCATTCCAGGAAAAGTTTACAACACAGAAGGCCATGTGTTTTCACAGGACACCAAAACAAGTGGCCTGACTAGAGGTTGTGTGAGGGAGCAGTGAGAAATACTAGATAACCAACTGATAGGGTATAACTGTATTATATTCTTAAAGGAGATTAGACTTTAAGGCATTGGGCATTGGGGGGCTTTAGGTCAAGAGAAGAACGCAAATAAACACAGACTCAGCTCTCAACTTCCACCCATGAAGTAAAAGAATACACTATAAGGTGACTAGAAGGGCTATTTTGAGGTGGCAGTGCTCCCAAAGATAAACATCATAATTTCTCTTCTGAATAAGGTAGTTTACTTTGTGCCAAGATGTATTCCTCGTCCCTGAAAATTTTATGTAAACATTTTCAAAGAGAGATCCCTTCCGTGAAGGGGAAAAACAGTCTCCTTGTGTATGTTAGTAATGTTGAAAATAGCCGTGTCCTCTTAAATAAAATGAAATGATTTATCTTGCTTTCTAGAAATAAACATAAAAAAGATGATTCTGAATGTTTCACTGTAGCTCATTAGCTATATACATTTAATTTATTGCTAATTCATATTCTGTCCTTCATATTAACATCCCCCGTTGCGCTGACATATACCATATATTAGGCTAAACACTGGGCTAAGAAATCAGGAGATTTTGTGGGCCAAATGGCTTGGTACTTAGCCCCAGCTTCAGTTAACTGCCTTGCAAATTCACAGTAAGAGTGGGGAGATCATCAATACCCCAAAAGTAACAAGCTAAACCAATGGGAACCACTGTCTGGTCATGGCTGCAATCTCAGATTCCACTTTCATGAACAAAGCAGTTTCAATGTTTAATGCGACTGTTTTTCGTAGATAAGTTAGCATAAGCAAAAAACCAGTAAACACATGTTGAACTGGCTTAACTACATGTGAAGTACGAAATCTTGTGAAAATTTTGAAGTAGAAAAACAGAGAAAGAAGCTATACTTTTATTAATATCAGAAAGGGTGAAGTTTGAATATAGCATGTATTAGGACATTAAGATCTGATTATAAGCCGTTTGATTAAAAGTCTTCCAGTAACAGTTTAAAAAAATTATAAAGTTATTTATGTCTAACATCTCAAAAGTGTGATTAGAATGCAAAACCTCTCATAAATTAATCTGTTCACATCTCAGAGAGTTGAATTTTGCCATATATGATTCTCTCTATATCATTTAAACTCATTTTAAATCTTCACTGTGTCAATAAATGAAAGAAGTTGAAGTGTCAGCTTACGATACTCAGATCCATCTATGTGAAGTTTTAAGTTATAAGTGTGCTTTTAAGTATTAGAATAAGTTGAATTATGTGAAATATTCAACAGTTAAACTATTTCATGTAGTATTTCTTTATATGAGTGCGATTATGCATAGAAATTGAATCTTAAGGGAAAGAAACTATTTGATTATGAAGGAAAACAATTTAAAGTGCATCATAGGTAATAAAATCAATTTTAATATCCCTACAAAATGAAATAGGGTTTATTTAACACAAGTAGTGTAGGGAAGAGAAATGGTGTATTTAAATTTCACATTTCAGGAAACAATCTTGAATCAATGTAGGTAGCCTTTTGAGTCAAAATGTAGCAGTGCTAATTCCCTATTAAGGGAAATCACAAGCGCTCTTTCCTTTGCAAATGATTTCTATAAAATAGTCCAAACTTTTGTTCATGTTGTAATTAAAAACAGAAAAGTATGAAGTTCTTTTTCTTATCTTTCTCTGAACTAAAAGTTAAATGTCTTTTTAAAAAATTAAAATGAAAACTATTT